TAAACTTTGGTAATAATATAGAATGCTATAGTAGTGAATCTTGTAAGACAGAGGAATGTAGGTAGGACAATGATAGAGCTAAATAAATTCCCAACTGGTTGAACAGTTCTTTCTGAGAAATAATGAAAAGATGTCACTAGCAGTGAGCTACAATAAAGACTAGAAAGCTTATTTAATATATTTGTGCAAGATGAAAAGCTAGTAAGAAAATACAAGAGATTTAAAACTCAAAAGGATTCTAATAAGCTAAAACAATAAACTTAAAACCAAAAAGGGAGACAGTTAACAAGAATAAACCAACTCCTACATTTAGGCTTAAAATATAATTATTTTTATTTTTATATATTTATAATTAAATTATAAGTAAATTAAATTAAAATACAACTATAATTAAAATATTGATGGGGATTTATGTAAAAAAATTTTTAGTGATTTATCGATTTAAAGGTAATAAAATTTTATACTATATATGAGAAGGTCAGAATTCAGCTCTTGAAATGGAAAGAGTTTTAAAACCGTGAACTTAGCATTTTCTTGAGAGCTTTTTGAGAAATATTTTATAAGCCTTTTAGACTCAAACTGCAATGACGTCTGCAATAATTGTAAATGCAAATTGTATGTTATAGTGTCAATCTACAACTCTCATAAACACTGAAAACAAAAATAAAGAATTCTATATTGACAATTTTTTAAAGATTTTATTTATTTATTTTTAGAGAGGGGCAGGGAGGGAGAGAAACATCAATGTGTGGTTGCCTCCTGCATGCCCCCTACTGGAGACCTGGTCCATAATCTAGGCATGTGCCCTGACCGTGAATTGAGCTGGTGACCCTTTGGTTCACAGGACGGCACTCAGTTCATTGAGCCACACCAGCCGGGGCTTATATTGACAATTTTTTAAAAAAGATTTTATTTATTAAATTTTAGAGAAAGGGAAAAAAAGGGAGAAAGAGTGGAAGAGAACCATCAATATGAGAAACATCGACCGGTTGCCTCTTGTATGCACCCCAACCTGGAATTGAACCCACAGCCAGGCATGTACCCTGACCCTAAATCGAACCAGCTACCCTTTGCTTTGCGCGGTTAACACCCAACCAAGCGATGCCAGTCAGGACTACTGACATTTTTTTTTTGTCACTTCAATATGTAGCTGAAAGGACAATCAACTTAATAACTTACTTTCTAAAGACACTTTTTGGTTTTTTTAAATTCGGTTCTTTACCATAGCATAAAATATTTTTGGAAACTTCCCTTTAGTACTAAAAGTTTTACTACAGGCATTACCTACTAAGTATAAAGACTAAACGTCAAGAGTGTCAGATTGTCTCATATAATTCTACTGAGGAATTCTGTCAAGGAATCTTTACAGAAATTAATGGTAAAAGAAAAGGTAAGAAAAACTTGGCATATTTTCATAAACTTTCTGATACTAATTTAGACCCATTATGCATTTTAAAAACTGAACCAATACTGAAAAAAAAACTTTGAAAAATACTCAACTTCAAAAGAAATAATCCAAGAGAATTTTCTGGTTAAAAAAAAATTGGTAGATTTCAGTATAACAATAATATACAAAGACATCTTAAGCTAAATTTTATTAAGAGACTTGATAACCTGAAAACATTAATAAAATAAATAACCTATTAAGGGACTAATGAATCTTTGTCCCACATAAAATACTAAAATTTACAAGTTTTAATGCTTTTGGTGGGATCTTTTATGATATATTCTTACTCTTCTGTTCTGTCAAATGATTAGAAATAGGAGAATCAAGATGGCGGAAGAGTGAGTGGAAGTCACACTGACCTCCTCCCAGGAACAACCTGGAATTACAACTAAATTGTAGAGAAATCACCTGGAACAAACAAGTGAACAATAGCAAGAGAGGAGCCTTGCAACCTCGGAGACAAAAGAATGAGCTTTACTGCAATTTAACTGGTAAGGAGTGTAGTAGAGACTCAAGAAGGCAGGTAGGGCGCCCACGGGCGGCAGCACGAGAAGGATACTGAAAGGGCCAGTTTGATCCCCCCGAGAAGAGTGGGATACAAATGAAAGGCGGGGATCTCTAGCCTCGAGGCTCTACAGCACCAGAGCCCAGAAACCACACAGAAAACAGCCAACTGTGAAAAACGGCAGGGTTGCTCTCTGCCACAGAGGGGCAGCTGGAAACAGAAAGAGGTATTTAAAGGGCCAACGCATAAATTTTTCTTTGCAGCCACTTACCTTGGTATCTGGCAAAGGCAGGAACAGAGTGGGCTAGAGGCTGCTGAGGAGACACATGGGAAGAAGGCTTTGAAGAGAGAACTAAGAGAGTGGCTGGCGGGATCTTGGTGCTGACTCATGCCCCATGTGGCAATAGCCATCTTGCTCAGGCAGAGACCATTCCCCCTGAGCAGCAGCAGTGTCAGAGAACCCAATAGTCCCACCCCAAGGTGGGATCCCACCCTGCCCTGTGCTCTCTAAGCCACCTGAGTGCAGAGTGAATAGATTAACAGCAGAAGGAGACACCCACAGACAGTAGATTCCTGGAAGTCTCAAACACATTGCCTAAGGTCAGACAGGGACAACATCTGACATCATCAGAGGCAGATCCAGATCCAGACAATAAAAACAGCAGTCTCCAACCATAGAAGTTCACACCACAAAGTCAGGAAATCAAGACAGATCTACTTAATAATCAGAAGCAAAAGAGAAGAGTCTCACAAATAATGAGAAAACAAAGAAATATGCCCCACACAAAAGGAAAGGAGGAATCCCCAGAAAGAGAACTAAATGAAATAGAGGTCAAGTAAACCATCAGATATCGAGTTCCAAACAACGGTTCTAAGGAACCTCAATGAGCTCAGTGAGCTCAGAAAGAATTACAAAAAACTAGAGGGAAACTATGAGGAACTTACTGCAAACTATATCAGCATGAAAAAGGACACAGAAACCATCAGTAAGAGACGAGAGGAAATGAAGAATACAGTTTATGAATTGAAGAACACAGTAGAAGGAATCAAAAGCAGGCTAGATGAAGCAGAGGAATGAATCAGCGAGCCAAAGGAAAAGGTAAGAAAAAGCTCCCAGAAAGAGCAAAAAATGAAAAAAGACTCAAAAAGAATGAAGAGGCATTTAGGGAAATGCAGGACAACCTGAAATGTAATAATATACATAAAATAATGATACCAGAAGGAGAGGAAGAGGGGGAAGGAATAGAGAACCTGTTTGAAAAGGTAATGATGGAATGACAGAAAACTTCCCTAATTGGAAGAGAGGAAAAGTCACACAAGTTCAGGAAGTCGAGAGGGTCCCATTCAAAAGGAACCCAAGGAGGCCCACCCCAAGACACATCATCCTTAAAATGCCAAATATCAAAGACAAACAGAGAATCCTAAAGGAGGCAAGGGAGAAAGAGGTAGTAACATACAAGGGAGCCCCAATACGGCTAGCAGCTGACTTCTCAACAGAAACATTGCAAACCAGAAGGGAGTGGCAATAAATATTCCGAGCCTGCAACCAAGACTACTCTACCCAGCAAGGCTCTCGATTAAAATGGAAGACAAAATAAGGAATTTCCCAGACAAAAGAAGGATAAAAGAATACACCTCCACCAAACCAGCACTGTAAAATATGCTAAAGGGACTGCTTTAAGATGAAGTGTCTATGAATACTCAGTTCCTTTCACAGTTGCCAATACTTGATATTACCAATATTTTTTAGTACATATTAATCTGATTGTGACAATGATGTGTTGTTTCAGTTGTTCCTTTATTACTTGTTGAAATGAAACCTGTTTTTGTATATTCCTTGCCTATTTCTATTATTTTAAAAAAAAGCTTTAAATGACTATTTGGTATTCTTTATCCATTTACTGATTAAAGGTTTGTAGAATTTTTTTTCCCTAAAAACCGAAAAAACCCCCGAAATAAACTATTAACCCTTTTTTAGATGTGTGGCAAATACTTTCCCATTCTATTACTTGTCCTTTAATTTTTTTATATGTATATTACTATATAGTCTAAATGTTTAATATAGTAATATTGTCAATATTTTACTTTATAGCTTTTGGGTTCGAGTATTTTACTTCAGGGTAAGAAAAAGATTAGTTTGTATTTTCTCCTAAAACTCCTTAGATTCTACAAACTGATTTTTAACTCATGTGAATATTTCTTGTATAACATGTGAAATAAGGCTCTATATTTGTTTTATTTCAAGTAATAGTGGTCCATGCACCTTGTATGTTGAATAACCCTTATTTTCCCCATAGATTTGAAATATCAATTTAATCATATATTACATTGTTAGATATAAATGTTAGTTTCTAGAATGCTCACTCTATTTCATTGATCTACTTGATTATTTCTGTACTGGTGTCATGTTTTAATTGCTGAGACTTTATAATGGTTTTACATTTTTTAATATTTTATAATTGACTTTGACATTTAAAAAAGTAAATAATATCAATCTGCATTTAAAAAAGAAAGAAAGAAGGGCAGGAAGGAAGGAAGGGAGGAAGGGAGGGAGGAAGGGAGGGAGGAAGGAAGGAAGGGAGGAAGAAAGAGAGATGTCTACCTTTTGCGACAACATGGATGGAACTGGAGAATATGCTAAGTGAAATAAACCAGTTGGTGAAAGACAAATATCGTATGATTCTCACCTATAAGTGGAATCTGTTCAGCAAAATAAACTAGCGAACAAAATAAACCACAGGCACGGAAACATCAAGCAGATTGAAAAGTGATCAGAGGGGATGGGGAAAGAGGACAATGGTGGAAAGAAGAGGAAGGGACTAGACAAAGAACATGTATGAATGACCCATGGACATGGACAACAGAGTGGGAACTAACTGCGGGAGTGGGGGGTGGGGGTGGGATGGTTGGAGGGGGGTAAAGGGGGAAAAATTGAGACAACTGTGATAGAATAAACATGGTTTAAAAATCTTTAAAAAAATGATTAGAAATAGTAAATATCTGGAAGCAAAAGCACTAAGAACATAAACAAATTTAACTGATACATACAGAACTGTACAGTCTTCTGGAAACGATTCTTCATATGATGTAGACAGCGATGAGTATGATTTGTTTTCCTGTTCATTTTCCGTCACAGAGTTATGATCTACATGAAAAAAATATGAACATCAGGAACAAGTACACCAATTAAAAATCATTCAGTCTAATATCTAAATATCTTTATTAACTAGAGATACATGAAGTCCTTAAATCTGAAAACATATTAAGATAATCAAGACTGACCCCAAAAGTTAGGTGTCAATATTTTCAAAAACATTAAGAAAATAAGAATGAAATAAAAGACTTAAGATAGAAGAGATTTTTAATGTAGTAACTCCAGTTTGGCCTGAGTTTTATCTGAATTTTAATCAACCTTTAAGGTGAACATTAAGTGTCCCTGCCTCTGCTGGTATTTTACAGAAAAATAATGTAACTTTTTAAAAAAAGATTTTAATTATTTTTAGAGAAGGGAAGGGAGGGAGAAAGAGATGGAGAGAAACATCAGTGTGTGGTTGTCTCTTACACGCCTCCTGCTGGGGACCTGGCCCACAACCCAGGCATGTGCCCTAAACTGGAAATTGAACCAGCAAACCTTTGGTTCACAGGTTGGCAATCAATCCACTGAGCCACACCGCCCAGGGCAGAAAAATTATATAACTCTTAAAGGTTCTATGAAAAGGTCACAAAATGGAAAGTTTATGTATCTTTTGTTCTCTGTTTTACTACCACCTATTTTATGGGGGGAGTTTAATGGGGTATAATATTTGGGTACCTCTTTCACTTTTGTCTTTCCATTTGTCTTTTTATGTTTCTCTTAGTCTCTCCTCTATCTCTTTGCACTCAATTTCGTTTTTGTCCCTTTTTTCCCCCTACTCTTCTAAACATGACTACAATGTAGAAATAAGCTATGTATTTAAAATTTTTTTTTTAATTTTTCAATTTTTTTTCTAGAAAGTGGGAGGGAGAAAGAGGGGGAGGGAGAGAATCATCAGTGTGTGGTTGCCTCTGGTGCGCCCTCTACTGGGGACCTGGCCTGCAACCCAAACATGTGCCCTAGATTGGGAAATGAACCAGCGACCCTTTGGTTCGCAGGACAGCACTCAATTCCCTGAGCCACACCAGCCAGGGCAATTTGCACATTTAATGAAAAAAAAATTTATAGATTTCCAGTTCTTATTGTGAAAAATGGTATGTGAAATACCCTGTTTGTCTGTTTAGTTTAAATAATTTTTTAAAAAAATTTGCTGTTTCCTATGCAATGATGGACCTTAGGGGGAATAAAAAGATTTCTCATCCTGCCTTGGATTATTTGCTTACCTTGGTTCTTTAGTGTAGAACAGTCTTATTGAAAAGGAAAAAAAAGGTTTAAGTAAATAAAAGTATAAATTATAGCCCAAGGCCACTCCTTGACTCACTGAAAAACAAATCTCCTGCTTTACTTACTTGGGTAAAGAAAGAAGGTTTAAAATCTGATAGTTGAAGAAAGCTATATTAACTAGTTAAAAATAAGTAAATTTTATAAATAATTTCTGATTTTCCCAGCTAATTTCATTGTATGAATTATATAAATGCATATTAACAAGTATGAATTAGACAAATGTATATAAACATAGTTAGAAATCAGATTTACTGAAAAACATGGTGATTTCAAATTAATCATTTACTAAGGAGGGAAAGAGAAAATAACAATTTCTCTCAAAAAATGGTATCTAATCCTTTGTATAAGCACACAGAAAATATTTATAGTTTGTTATACACAAGCAAGGAAAATAAAGGTAATTTGTGATTTGTGGAGAACAGTAGGCTGGCTGGCTCTGGGATGGCTCGTTTTGACCTCAACATTAAATCCTTTTATTTCTCCTAGACTCAGTATTTTTTTAAAATTCTTACATAAAACTTTATTACTACAAAGTTGCTAATCCTTGTATTTGCCAAAAATGTCAATTACATAACACCCCCATTACTTATAAACATTGGTTTACCACTTGCAAACACATACTTTTATTTGAATAAGTTCATTACATTTCAGATGAACTACATAAAAATATGAAATTATAATATTCAAAACCTCCATTGACAAAATTATCTTTAAAAGAACCAAAACAAAAACCCAACTTACTGTATTTTAGTGGGAAACAGATTGTCTCAGAAAGAAAAAAAATTGTTTAGAAGTACCTGTAGTTCTGACTACCTCCTGCATTTAAAAGCCTTTCTTCAAAACTAATATAATCTCTTAAGTGTGTGTTAATTCCAAGTGCAACTGAAGGATACTGTGATAGCTTAACTGTTTCCTTACAGAATCTACTATTTTAAAAATGTAGGTATTGAAATTGAGAACACTTTTGAGTAACAAAACGTTTCTTTAAAATATACTGATAATGCCAAGCTATATTTTCAGAGATTTAAAACCTTGAGGCTCCAAATTATAGCAGTGAAAATTATTATAATTTATTGATAATATTTCATAGTAGTAATTAAAATGTAGGAAATGTGCTTCTTCAACACTTTAGCAATCAGTGAAAGAATAAGATTTTTAGGATAGTAATTCTAATAAAGTAATTTTCATTTTTTCTTTCTAGCCCCGGTATACTATCTTTGATTAATTCCTTCTGAAATAAATTTGTTTAGAGTTTAGAAGACTGAGAGTCTAATAATAATCTAGAAACGATAAAATTTCCCACCCATTTATCTATATTAGAATATTCTTTTCTAGTATTGTTCTTCAAACAAAGCTGATTTATAGTGGTTTGGAGTCTTAAAATTCTATTTGCTCTTGTTATACAAAATTTTTTTTTGAAGAGGAGATACATTGTTCATTCCTTCTCTATGAGGCTTTTTGGGGTGTGCATTTCTTATACTGGATGGGTAGGGATTTTCATTTAATAGGGAAACTTATTTATATAACTCACCAGTATAGGTCTTACATTTTATTTTCAATTATCTTTAGTCTGTTAGCCTGACATAATTAGGCAGGCCTGTTTCAGATCAAGAAAATACCAGAGAATACTCTAGATTGGAATTAGAAATGTACATACCCTTTATCAGTGTTGAATTATTACTTCTAGTTGCTTCATTCACTAGAACCATTGCTTGTATGTATTCTATTAAGGAAAAAAAGAACGAAAGCCATCAGCAGCAGCATCACCCTTATTCAAGTGCTAGCTACTGTGCCAAACAATTTACATACTTTATTTCATTTAACCTTCACAACTCCTCTGAGAGGGTCTTATCAATAGCTGTATTAGAGAGAAAGAAATTGCAGCTTAGAGGTTAACCTATTCATTACAGAACGTTCAGCTAGGAAGTGATACTGGATTCAATCCTAGGTATACTGGATTCATGAAGGAATGGGAAAAAAGTTAAAATGAAAAAAAGTACTAATTTTTTGGACAAGTATATAATAAACTGTTACAAGAATATCCAGAAAGAATTCAAAATAGTCTGAGAAAAATAAACAATAGTCTGGGTGTAATGGGCACGGTACCAAGTTCAGAACAGGGTGTTTGAGCTGGGGGTCTCCCAGAACCAGAGAAGCCTCCCTCCCCATCCCCCAATACAGAAAAATGGGAAAAAATTCCTGAAGAAGCTTCCACAGCCATGCCAGGTGGCTGAGGAAGTAGACAAACTGGTTGAGAGATACTTTGCATATCAATACCAGATGGCCACTGTTAGAGTTCTGGTAAATAGCTGTGCTAGAGCCAGGGAGATGGGCAGGATTTTGACTCATCATGTAGCCTGAGGAGCTTGCTGTGCCTGCTTGTGAGCAGCAGAAAGGGGGTTCACTCCACTTCACAGGCGCCAGCCTGGACTAACAATGACACCCAGAAAGGCAGAAGATACCAGAGAATTGGCAGATGTAGCTGATTGTGGGAGAAGTCTGAAATGCGGTTATGGAGGAGGTGCTGGAATTTAATCTAGATTTGGCAGTGATTCTCGCTCTGCTCTTGGCTATGCTTCTTAGGAAGGAGAAAGGCTGTCCTGGCCACGTGGGTAGCAGTAGTGAAGGAAGAGACATGCTGTCTGTAGTAACGGATTTTTGCCATGTGGTTTGAAAGAGGGCAGTAAGATGGGAGATGTAAACAAGCAGCTGTGTAGTTTATAGTGAGGTAGGAGGCCATGTGGCCTGGACTAATAAGAAAGGAGATGCTGCTGCTGTGATCGTGCCTGCGCTAGCTGACTCCAGAGCTGTAAAGTACTTCTTTGCAAGATCCTGATCTGCTGCACCTGGATTTTACCTGGACTTCTAAGACCTGTGCCTTTCCTGAGTTTCACCATGATCCAGAATAACACGGTACATGCCTTTCTCGACTAGTAAATGGAGGCTGATGGCAACATACTACAGATCCTGCACAGATAAGGATATGGGAAACTTTCTGAGATGCTTTTGGCTAGTAGGCTGGGGGCGGGGCATGGGAAGTGCTGAGCCTCATAGGAAAGGAGGACACCGAACTGAGGTGCTCTGAGAACCCCCAAGGTTGTAATGTTGTAAATGAATATTTCCTTCCAGCATTAAATTGTTGGGTCATTCACCAAGGCACCGTGTGGATGGGCCCCCGTCTGCTCCGTAACATGGGGAAAAATTTGCTTGAAAAGCATCTGTCCTGGGGGATGTTTAGAACAGTACAGGAAATGGAGTAGCCAAAGATATGCATGATCCACAGACACGAAATAAGGAGGATTGCTAGAGGGAGAGGGGGTACTGGGCAGTAGGGGGGGCAAAGGGGAAAAAATTGGGACAATAGTATAATCAATAAAATATATTTACACACACACACACACACACACACACACACACACACACACACGAGAAAATCATCTGTCCTAACGGAATGTGAAGGTTTCCACATGAAAATCTTTTGTTCTACAACCAAACAGGGTTGAAGAAAAAGAAATTAAAAAAAAAACCAAACACCCATGGTTCACTGAATTGATTGTCTATATACAATGCAAGTTTTGCTTTCAGAAGCCTAATAAGACAAGTTCTGCTAAAGGTGATATAATATAGTTATATGTACTGTTGTATGTAAAAAACACTAGTTGTCACTGAATGATAGGATAATGGATACTTTTTGTCATCCTTTCTATATGTACATGAGCAGACATTACTTTTGCAATACCCCCCAAAAAAAGATAAAAGAGAAAAAATAAAATGTGGGGGTTGGGGGAAAGGTGGCCTGAGTTAAAGAGAGAAATTTAATAGCTATTCAAAGTAAACATCTTTCCCACCTTTACAATATAGCCATGGTATGATAAATGCAAGACTTTATGGAAGCCAACCAAATACACATATAAAAAGGCAAACAGAACTGATGTTAGAATTTTAGATAACAAAGAAATCATTTGACTTTTAAAACAAACAACAGGTGCCTTGTCCAAGATGGCAACGTAGGTAATCATGCCTTGCCTCCTTGCACAACCACATCAAAATTAAAACTACACTATCATTCAGAACCATCAAAAATTGAGCGGAATAGAAGTCCTATAACTAAGGAATTAAAAAAGAAACCACATCCATCCAGACTGGAAGGAGGGGTGGAGACAGAGATGTGGAATGGGCCGGTAAAACACCAGTGTGTTGTGGAGAAAAATCTATAGGGTATCTTGGGAGCAAGGGAACCCAGCCATATAGCAGGCGCCCCTGCCCAGAAATCCAGTGCCAGGAAGATAAGTCTCCAAAACTTTGGGCTATAAAACCACCAGGGATTGAGCAGATGGAAGAAACTGCTGGATTCTCAAGCAGTTACCTTTAAAGGGCCCATGCACGGACTTAATCAGACCCACTCCCTCTGAACTCCAGCGCTGGGGCAGCAGCCTGAAAGGCACCAGTGGCACACGGAGAGCAATTGAAGTATCTCACATCAGAGCAAGAGCTGGGGTACAGCTTTCTCCCAGACAGAACAGCAGGCAGAGGCCACTGTTTCTTTTCTGCACCATCCCCCAACAGAACCACAGAGCCACAGAGTCAGTGGGCAGGTACCATATCTGAGACTTCATCAACCTGGCTCACACTGTTTGCCCAGCCCTGGCGATTCCCTGAAGCTCAGCCACACCCAACTTACAGACCCACCCAAGCTGTTAACAGTAGCTTTCCTGTATGAATGGCTTGTCTTGGCTCCTTTCAGATACTCCTAAATCCTCTCAAATAAGCAGTAGTTAGTCTCAGGGAGTCTCTGAATTTCTTGCTAAGTGGCTTCAGGCCTAGCAAGAGCAGCAGCTGGCCTTGGTTAACAGCACGGCCATGCTTGGGCACCTCTACGCCCACCAAAGGTAGCACCCATCTACAGATCACTTTATAGCTTATGCCGGATAGAACACAGGCAGCGGGTGACCTAGCCCTGCACCACTACCTCCTGGGAAACTCCAGAGCCTGTGCATCCATTGGACAGCTATAGACCATGTTAGAGCACTCCCACCCAAAAACCTCCACAAGCAGCACACTCGAAGGGCAGAGTCAGCAGGCACTAGAGCCCTGCTGAAGTAAGGCCTGCTCTGTGGAATGGGCCTCAGCACAACTGATCCTCCAAGGAGGGCAGAGGTTGGTGGTACATGGTCACAGTCAATCCTTGCAGCTGACTGGCCTGGGCGAATCCGCTCCATAGACCTGCCAACAGAAACCAAGGCTCAACCACAAGAGGAGGGTGTATTCAGTCCACATGAAGGGTTCACCTCGAGTACCCAGCTCCGGTGAATGGGGAGGCTGTGCCACTGGGCCCTACAGGACACCTACTACATTAGGCCACACTACCAAGACACGGAGTCAAAGCAGCTCTACCTAATACATAGAAACAAAGGCAGGGAGGCTGCCAAAATGAGGAGACAAAGAAACATAGCCCAAATGAAAGAAAAGATCAAAACTCTAGAAAAAGAGCTAAACAAAATGGAGATAACCAGTCTGTCTGGTGCAGAGTTCAAAACACTGGTTATAAGGATGCTCAAGGAACTTAGTGATAACCTCAGCAACATAAAAAAGATCCAGTCAGAAATGAATGCTATACTAATTGGAATAAAGAACAATTTTCAGGGAAACAACAGTAGAGTGCATGAAGCCAAGAATCAAACTAATGATTTGGAACATAAGCAGGCAAAAAACCACCAATCAGAACAAGACCAAGAAAAAAGAACCCCCCAAAAATGAGGGTAGTATAAGTAGCCTCTGGTACAACTTCAAGAGGTCCGACATTTGCATCATAGGGGTGCCAAAAGGAGAAGGGAAAGAACTAGAAATTGCAAATCTATTTGAAAAAAATAATGAAAAAAAACTTCCCTAATCTGGCAAAGGAAATAGAGATACAAGTCCAGGAAGCACTGAGAATCCCAAACAAGATGGATGCAAAGAGGTCCACACCAAGACACATCGTAATTAAAATGCCAAAGGTTAAAGATAAAGAGACAATCTTAAAAGCATCAAGAGAAAAGAAGTTAGTTACCTACGAGGCGGGGGGGGGGGGGGGGGGGGTTCCCATAAGATTGTCAGTTGATTTCTCAAAAGAAACTTTTCAGTCTAGAAGGGATTGGAGAGAGATATTCAAAGTCATGAAAAACAGCCTACAGTCAAGTGTGCTCTACACAGCAAAGCTATCATTTAGAATCGAAGGGCAGATAACGAGCTTCCTAGACAAGAAAAATCTAAAGAAGTTCATCACCAAACCATTATTATATTAAATGTTAAAGGGACTTATTTAAGAAAAAGATCAAAATTATAATATATAAAATGGTAATACATACATATCTATTAGGAATTGAATCTAAGAAACAAACTAAGTGAACAAGTGGAAAAGAAACAGAAGCAGATACAGAGAACATTTTGATGGTTACCAGAGGGGAGGGGGGTCTGCAGGAATGGGTGAAAAGGTGAAGAGATTAAGAAATACAAATTGGTAGACAGAATAGTCATGAGAATGTAAAATACAGTATAGAAAAGGGAGTAGCCAAAGACGTATATACATGGCCCATGGACATGAACAATGGTGTGGGGATTGCCTGAGGGAGTGGGGTGTGCTAGGTGGAAAGGGGCAAAGGGGAAAAAACTGGGAAAACTATAATAGCATAATCAATAAAATTAAAAACAAACAATAATACTGGAAATTGAATTTTACCATATACTGGGGGTAACATTAAGCATTACATGCATTGAAAGTTTTTATTGCTTCATACCTTTACTTGTGGCAGACCCATCTTTGATCTTTTGCTTCAGTGACTGCAGCACACTTTGCACTTGATCAAATATCATGTCCACTTTTCCATCATCTTCCAGCTCCCTCCAGAAACTCTTTGCATCACCTAAATATAAGTCAGTGAGAAGCCCACGACTTCAATAGAAACAGACTATCATTTCCCTGTGGCACATGTTACACACAATCTGTTTGATGTCTAAATAAAATGAAGTTATAATTGGACTCTCAATTTCTTTGAAAAAGATGATTTTGGTCATTGTTCCTTAACAAAAAAAGACCTAGAAACAAGAAATATGATCTAAGTATGGCATTTATTTCTCCTAATTTAGGAAAAATGTAGAAAACTTTAGTGAAACTATTTCAGGACTGGAAAAGAAAATTGACTTCATTCTGGAGTGTAGTGGACATTCATAGATACACACTCATTTAAAAACTTTTTAAGAATTTCTGGTCAAGATGGTGGCATAGGCAGACATGGCTCAAATCTTCGTACAACCACATCAAAATTACAACTAAAATATAGAAAAACCATCACCCAGAACCATCAGAAATCAAGTTGAATGGAAATTGGGCAGCTACAGAATTAAAGAAACCATATCCATCCAAACTGGTAGGAGGGACACAGACACAGAATGGGCCAGTACTTCACCCACATGTGGTAGATTAAAATTCAGGAGGGTTCTCTTGGGAGCCAGCCCTACACCAAGCACCCAATCCCAGGGTTCCAGGGCCATATATAAGTCCCATATGTTCCAAGACAAGTTCCATAACTTCCAGCTGCAAAAATCAGCATGCATTGAGTCAGTGGAAGAACTGCTGGAGCTACGGACAGTTCCTGTTAAAGAACCCACACAGAGACTCACCTGCTCAGACTCACTCACTCTGTGCTCTAGCATTGGGGTAGTAGCTTGAAAGGCACCAGTAGCATAAAGGAAGGAACTGAAGTGTCTAGTGTCAAGGTGAGCAGAGATCACTGTCCCTCTTCTAAACCCTCTATCCACAGGACCAGCAAGCTGGTGCCATACCTGAGACACCATCACCCTCCCTAAACTATTTGACCTGCCTTGGAGATCTCCAGAGACTCCACCCATCCCAACTTATGGACGCTGCTCTTACATATGAATGGCTGGTGTTGGATTATCCTGAACAACTTCCTAAATCCTATCAAAAAGGCAACAGCTGGCTTCAGTGAGCCCCAGGCCCAGCACTAGCAGCTACCAGCTTAGATTCACAGCTTGGTTTCACCTGGGAACTTCCATTTTAGATTGCTTTACAGCTTAGGCAGGGTGCCCCGGGCCAAAAGTAGGCTGCAGCTGATGTTGGACTGTACCACCTAGGAAACCCCAGGGCCAGTATAACCCAGTTGATAGCTACAGACCATGATGGAGCACCACCACCCTTCCCTGGCACAGCTGATGCTCCACAGAGGGCGGAGGTTGGTAGTACATAGTCACAGCTAATAGTGAATCCAGAAAAACAAACTAAGCAAACAAGAATAACAGAGAGAGAATCATGGATACAGAGTGTTTTGATGGTTGCCCGATGGGTGGGTGGTATGGAGAAATGGGTGAAGAAATGAGGGGATTAAGAAGTATAAGTAGTGACCGAATAGCTATGGAAATGTAAAGTACAGTATAGGAAATTTAGTAGCCATGGAAATGTAAAGTACAGATTAGAAAATGAAGTACAATATAAAAAATGTAGTACAGGAAATGTAAAGTATGGAAAATAACTTAAACATATGACCCATGGACATGAACAATGGTGGGGGGATTTCCTCAGAGTATGGTTTGGGTGGAAGGGGACATAGGGGGAAAATCAGGACAACTATAATTGTATAATAAAAAATATATAATTTAAAGTTTTTTTAATTAAAGAATAATTTTTAGGAATGTAACTTCCATTAAACATGGAAGCTGATGGTTGCAGAACGGAACACCTCAGTAATTGCTGAAATAACTAAATATCCAAAAGTAATGCTTTTTACAGGTGTGCTGAGACAAAGAAATATAGCCCAAGTGAAACAACAGATCAAAGCTCCAAAATTAGAACTAAGCGATGAACAGATAGCCAACTTATTAGATGCACAGTTCAAAATACTGGTAATCTGGATGCTCACTGAATTGCTTGAGTATGGTAGCAAAATGGAGGAAAAACTGAAGGTTATGCAAAGCCAAATAAAGAAAAATATACAGGGAACCAACACTAGAGGAAAGGAAACCGGGACTCAAATCAATGATTGGGAGCAGAAGGAAGAGAGAAACATTCAACCAAAACAGAATGAAGGAACAAGAATTCAAAAAAAAAAATTAGGACTGAATTAGGAACCTCTGGGACAACTTGAAATGATCCAACATGTGAATCATAGGGTGCCAGAAGCAGAAGAGGAAGAGCAAGAAATTGAAAACTTATTTGAACAAATAATGAAGAACTTCCCCAATCTGGCAAAGGAAATAGATTCCCAGGAGATCCAGGAGGCCTGGAGAATCCCAAGAAGTTGGACGCAAGGAAGCACGCACCAAGGCACATCATAATACATTACTCAAGATTAAAGAAAAGGAGAGGATCTTACCAAGCAGCAAGAGAAAAGGAGACAGTTACCTACAAAGGAGTTTCCATAAGACTGTCAGGTGATTTCTCAAAAGAAACCTTGCAGGCAAGAAGGGGCTGGCAACAAGTATTCAAAGTCATGAAAGGCAAGGACCTACATCCAAGATTACTCTATCCAGCAAAGCTATCATTTAGAAAGGAAGGGCAGATGAAGTGCTTCCCAGATAAGGTCAAGTTAAAGGAGTTCATCATCACCAAGCCCTTATTATATGAAATGTTAAAGGGACTTATCTAAGAAAAAGAAGATCAAAAACTATGAACAGTAAAATGACAACAAACAACTATCAACAACTGAACTTTAAAAAAAAAAAAAAAAAAGGAAGAGCAAACTGAGCAAACAACTAGAACAGGAACAGAATCACAGAAATGGAGATCGGAGGGGAGGGGGAGAGGGAAGAATAGGGGAAAAGGTACAGGGAATAAGAAGCATAGGTAATAAGTACAAAATAGACAGGAGGATGTTAAAAATAGTATAGGAAATGGAGAATCCGAAGAACTTATATGTACGACTCACAGACATGAACCAAGGGGGGCAGGGAAGGGGAATGCTAGGGGGAGGGGAAGAAAGGGGAGGAAAAATTAAAAAATAAACAAAGAATGCTTTTAAAATACCATTTATATTGGCTTTTAAGTAATTATGTGAAATAAAATATTTAAAAGTTTTTACAGGTATTTATAAACATGAGCTAAAATTTCATATGCCCAGCAAACACCTTAAACACTTCCTAGAGAAATAATCCTATCATGTTAAAAACAAAAATAGGGAATCACAATTGCTTCAGAAAGAATAAAACACCTAGTAATGAATCTAACCAAGGATGTAAAAACCTATACTGAAAACTAAATTAAAGAATACTAAAGAAAGAATTGAAGGTACAAATAAGTGGAAGCACATACCATGTTCATGGATAGGAGGAATTAACATCATTAAAATGTCCATCCTACCGAAACCAATATACAGATTCAACGCAATTCCTATCGAGATTCTAATGATGTATCACACAGAACTACAATGAACTATTTCCAAAGTTTATGCAGAACCACAAAGGGCCATGCATAGAAACAGTGATACTGAGAAACAAGAACAAGGTTGGAGAAATCATGCTACCTAATATCAAACTATAATATAAGGCCATAGTAATCAAAACAGCATGATACTGGCATAAAGCCAGACATACAGATCAATGGAACAAAGTAGTGAGCCCCAAAATAAACCCACACCTTTAGTCAATTAATATTCAGCAGAGGAAGAAAGCACATATAATGGGATAAAGATAGTTAATTCAATAAATGGTGTTGAGAAAACTGGACAGATACATGCATAAAAATGAAACTAGACCACATCCTTATACCACACACAAGAATAAATTCAAGAAGGATTAAAGACTTAAATGTTGAGACTTGAAACTATAAAAAAAACAAAAATCCTACAAGAAAACATAGGCAGTAAATTCTCCTACATTGCTAGTAGCAATATTTTATCTGATCTCTCTACTCAGGCAAGAGAAAGCAACAAACAAAAAGAAATGGGACTACATCAAAATAAAAAGTTTTTGCACAGCAAAGGAAACCATCAACAAAGCAAAAGACAACCCACAGAATGGGAGAACATACTCACTGGTACATCTGATAAGGGGTTAATAATCAAAACATGTAAAGAACTTTTAAAACTGATTATTGCCCTGGCTGGTGTGGCTCGGTGGATTGAGTGCTGGCCTGTGAACCAAAAGATTGCCGGTTTGATTCCCAGGCAGGGCACAGGCCTCGGTTGCAGGCTGGGTCCCTGGTGAGGGACGTGTGAGAGGGAACCACACATTCATGTTTCTCTTCCCTCCTTTCCCCTCTGTCTAAAAATAAATAAATAAAATTTAAAAAATAACTGATTATCAAAAAAACACAGTCCAGTTAAAAAAAATGGGCAAAGGGCCTGAATAGCCTCTTTTACAAAGAGGACATATACATGGACTACAGACATGTGAAAACATGCTCAACTTCAGTAATTGTCAGAGATGCAAATTATAAGCACAATCAGGTATCACCTCACACAGGTCAGAATGGCTATCGTCAATAAATCAACAAACAACAAGTGGCGGCAACAATGTGGAGAAATCGGAACCCTTTTCACCGTTATTGGGAATGCAGTTTGGTGCAGCCACTGTGCAAAACAGTATGGAGATACCTCAAAAATTAAAAATGGATCTCTGTTTTGACCCAGTGACCCCACTTCTGGAAATAGAAGGAACTGAAAACAGTAATTCAAAAAACATAAGCACCCTTATTTTCATTGTAGCATTATTTACAATCATGAAGATACGGAAGCAGCCCGAGTCCTTAGTAGATGAGTGGATAAAACAACTATGGGATATTTATACAATGGACTACTACTCAGCTGTAAAAAAGAAAGTTTTATCCTTTGTGACAGGATGTGGAGAACATTATGCCAAGTGAAATAAGCCAGTCAGAGATATCATGATTTCATTTATATGTGGAATCTAA